CTTTTTTTTTTTTTTTTTGAGATGGAGTTTCACTCTGTCACCCATGCTGGAGTGCAATGGCAATGGTCTAAGTTCAACTGCAGCCTCTGCTCCCGGGTTCAAGCCGATTATCACGCCTCAGTCTCCTGAGTAGCTAGGACTATAGGCACGGTCACTATAACCCAGCAAATTTTTGCATTTTGTATGAGATAGGGTTTTCACCATGTTGGCCAGGCTGGTCTCAAACTCCTGACCTCGTGATATACCCACCTTGGCCTCCAAAGTGGCTGGGATTACAGGATGAGCCACTGTGCCCAGCCAAATTTTGTAAATTTTTTTATGTGTTAATGTTCATGAGCATATTGATATGAATTTCTTTTTTTTTTTGGAGACGGAGTGTGTGCTCTGTCGCCCAGGCTGGAGTGCAGTGGCCGGATCTCGCATCACTGCAAGCTCCGCCTCCCGTGTTCCCACATTCTCCTGCCTCAGCCTCCCGAGTAGGCTGGGACTACAGGCGCCGCCACCTTGCCCGCTCATTCTTTGTATTTTTTAGTAGACGGGGTTTCACGGTGATTAGCCAGGTATTGAGTCTTCGATTCTCCGACCTCGTGATCCTGCCTCGTCTCGGCCTCCCAAATAGTGCTGGATCTGGCTTGGCCTATCCCCTGCTCGGTTCTCTCTGTGATTGTTGTATTTTTCTGTGGTTTTATTTTTATTTTAATCGTGGTGTTGTTATCTAGAAATGGTGCATGATAGATGGAAATTGAAGAAAAAAGTTGCTCGTGATGATCTCCTGACCTCGTGATCCGCCCGTCTCGGCCTCCCAAAGTGCTGGGATTACAGGCTTGAGCCACCGCGCCCGGCCATATCTCTCATTTCTGTATTGAGACTTGTGTTTTCTCTTTCTGCTAATCAGTTTGTCTAAAGATTTATCAATTTTATTGGTTTAAAAAAAAACTTACTGGGCGCAGTGGCTCACGCCTGTAATCCCAGCACTTTGGGAGGCCGAGGCGGGTGAATCATCTGAGGTCAGTAGTTTAAGACCAGCCTGGCCAACATGGTGAAACACTGTCTCTACTAAAAATACAAAAATTAGCCAGGCGTGGTGGTGTGGGCGTGTAATCCCAGCATCCAGCGTACTTGGGAAGCTGAGGCACAAGAATCAGTCAAACTCAGGAGGCAGGTTGCAGTGAGCCGAGATCACACCACTGCACTCCAGCCGAGTGACAGAGTGAGACTCTGTCTTCAAAAAAAAAAAGCCAATCGAGGCCAGGCATGGTGCCTCAGGCCTATAATCTCAGCACTTTGGGAGGCTGAGGTGGCAAATCACTTGAGGTCAGAAGTTCAACACCACCTGGGCAACATGGCAAAACCCTGTCTCTACTAAAAAAAAAAAAATTAGCCAGTGTGATAGTGGTGCCTGTAACCCCAGCTACTTGGGAGGCTGGAACTGGCGGATTACTGAACGGGAGGCGGAGGTTGCAGTGAGGTGAGATTGGACCACGCACTCCAGCCTGGCAACAGAGTGAAAACTCAGTCTCAAAAAAAAAAAAAGATTCATTACTCTTCTCTCTTGTTTCTGTTTTCTGTTAATTTCTGCTCTTATTTTAATTTCTGTGAGATCTCAGAAGAGGGAAGACCCTGGCCCAGGGGTCAGAGACCTTATTTCCATGAACCACTCACTAACTGTGTGTGTGTGGCCTTAGACTTAGAATTTCTGAGACTTATTTTCTTTGTCTGCATAATGGAACTAGGGCTCCTAGAGATGAAGTAGTTGATGAATATGAAAGTACTTGGCCACTGGGAAGGCCCTCTCCAGCCCCACGTGAGAGGTCCTTTTTGCGGCATTTGTAATAATAATGGCTTCTTCTTTCTTTCCAGATCTGAAGACAGCATGTACACAGCCATTCCCCAGAGGTAAGCTGCATGCCCCATCTCCTTTCACAACTTCCCCTTCTTCACCTCCAAGGGCTGCCCCTCCCCACCGCTCTCCTCATCCCCAGACTGCAGTCGCCAGGCCTGCCCAGGGCTGTGCTTGGGCCAGTGGGTCCTGGCTGCTGTCAACCCTCTCTCTCTTCTCGCAGTGGCTCTCCATTCCCAGGCTCAGTGCAGGATCCAGGCCTGCATGTGTGGCGGGTGGAGAAGCTGAAGCCAGTGCCCGTGGCACGAGAGAACCAGGGCATCTTCTTCTCGGGGGACTCCTACCTAGTGCTGCACAATGGCCCAGAAGAGGTTTCCCATCTGCACCTGTGGATAGGTAAGGGGATCTGGATGGGGGAAGGTTGGGCCCAGGCAGGGGAGGGAGGGGTCTGGCATGGATCACAAGGGCCTTGCCCTGCCCTCTCCCACTTGTCCCAGGTCAGCAGTCATCCCGGGATGAGCAGGGGGCCTGTGCCGTGCTGGCTGTGCACCTCAACACGCTGCTGGGAGAGCGGCCTGTGCAGCACCGCGAGGTGCAGGGCAATGAGTCCGACCTCTTCATGAGCTACTTCCCACGAGGCCTCAAGTACCAGGTCAGAGCCCACCTCCAGGCACCCCCACCCTGCAGCTTCTCTCAGAGCCAGCCCCGCTTCTGGCTGGTTCTTAACCTGCAGAAGACCCGGGTGCCTTTGGGGCTGGATCCCCACCTTTCTGCCCGTCTCCCAGTGGGATGGGGTGCAAAGGGCTCTGGGTCTCCTGTCAGTCCACTCAGATGGGCTGTCTGGGCTGCAGGAAGGTGGTGTGGAGTCAGCATTTCACAAGACCTCCACAGGAGCCCCAGCTGCCATCAAGAAACTCTACCAGGTGAAGGGGAAGAAGAACATCCGTGCCACCGAGCGGGCACTGAACTGGGACAGCTTCAACACTGGGGACTGCTTCATCCTGGACCTGGGCCAGGTGGGTAGGCTGGCCAGACTGAACACTCCGTATTGGCACCATCCTTTACAAGGACAGAGGGGCAGGAGGCCAGGAAAGAGGGAGAGAAGCTGAGAAGCTGTAAGCCCATTCCAAGTCAGAGCCCTCTGACCATTGGAGAACATCCCTATATTTGTAAGGACTGATGCCAGCCTCCTTCTGCCATCTAGACATTGCCTCTGATGCTCTGGAGCTTTCTCCCTCCTCTTGGAAGCCTCTGAGTTCACTGCCTGCCAGACCATTCATTAATTCAGTCACTGATCTCTTCATTCAGTGAATCTATGATGCCCTCTCTGAGCCAGCACAGGGACCATAAAAGCTCGCTCTGGGGAGGCAGCCAAGATGGGCCTGTCACTTGCCATAACCTGAGGCAGGATGTGATGAGGACTTTAAGGGGGACAGCTGCCATGTGCTGGGGGGGCTTGAGGCAGGGAGGGGCCCTCTAGCCTGAGCCGAAGCCAGTTGTCCCAGGAAGGTGACATTGGACTAGACCTATAGGAGGGGAGATGCCACTCCAGGCAAAGGGAGAAGGTGAGCTGAGCCACCAAGGTGGGGAAAGGTGCAGACATGCACACACCAGGGGTCTAATGAGACTGGGACCCGGGCTGGGGGACAGGAGCAGCGAGAGGGAAATTGCTAAGGAAGGTGGAAGGTGAGCCCCAGGTCATGAGGAGATTGACTGGCTGAGGAGTATGGGTTGCATCTTGTGGCGCTGAAGATTTGGGGCAGAGAAATCAATCCAGGAGCTCTTGGTGAGGAGGCCTACATGTGCTGAGACAAGGAAGGGGATGGGTGAACAGACTTTGCCATTACCAGAAGAGGAGAGGTGACAGGGGCTCTGCCAGGCAGGGTGGCGGGTAGGAGTGTGAGACGCTGCGCTCAAGGAGACATTCAGCCACTCACCCATCCAGTCCTTCACTCAGTCAGTCAATATTTATTTTGCACCTAAATCCATGCCAGGCTCTGTTTTAGCAGTGGACCCACAGCAGTGAGCAAAGCCAAACAAAACCTTCATGTCCTAATGAAGCTCACTTTCTAGTAGGTGGAGATAGGTGGTAAAAGACGTTTAAACATAGGAGATATGTGATGGGAAGAAAAAGAGGCGCCGGGCGCAGTGGCTCACGCCTGTAATCCCAGCACTTTGGGAGGCTGAGGTGGGCAGATCACCTGAGGTCGGGAGTTCGAGACCAGCCTGACCAACATGGAGAAACCGCATCTCTACTAAAAATACAAAATTAGCCGGGCATGGTGGCACATGCTTGTAATCCCAGCTACTCGGCAGGCTGAGACAGGAGAATCTCTTGAACCCAGGAGGCGGAGGTTGCGGTGAGCTGAGATTGTACCATTGCACTCCAGCCTGGGCAACAAGAGTGAAACTCCATCTCAAAAAAAAAAAAAGAAAAAAGAAAAAAAAGAAAAAGAAAGAGGCTTGAGCCCAGCAGTTTGTAACCAGCATGGGCAATATAGTGGGACCCCATTTCTACAAAAAATTAAGAAATTAGCCAGGCATGGTGGCACGTGCCTATAGTCCCAGCTGCTTAGAAGCTAAGGTGCAAGGATTGCTTGAGCCTGTGATGTCCAGGCTGCAGTGAGCCATGATCATGTCTTTGCACTCCAGCCTAGATGACAGAGTGAGACCCTGTCTTGAAAAAAAAGAAAGGAAGACAGATGGCAGGTGGGCAGAGAAACAGTTGCAGAGGGTGGTCGTGGGCATTCTCAGAGAGTCTCTGTGCTTTGCTCTGCCTTCCTGATTGTCCTGCCTCAGGGACAGTTCAGAGAGGAGAGAGGGAGAGCTGTGGGCCCTCTGTGGGAGAGCTGTATCCGGGGAGCAGGATACAGGCACCTGGCTCTGACCCGGGCTTTCCTGCTTCCCTGCAGAACATCTTCGCCTGGTGTGGTGGAAAGTCCAACATCCTGGAACGCAACAAGGCGAGGGACCTGGCCCTGGCCATCCGGGACAGTGAGCGACAGGGCAAGGCCCAGGTGGAGATTGTCACTGATGGGGAGGAGCCTGCTGAGATGATCCAGGTTGGGGGACATTGGAGTGGGCAGCCAGGAGCCTCTGCTTGAAAGTGGCCAAGAGAGGTGGTGATGAGCTGAGGCCTGAGGGTGGCCGGTGGAGGGTGGCAGGGGGCATCTGGGGTACTGCCTTGGGCTGTGGCCAGCTCACAGGGTGCCCCTCTGAGTAGATGCTCATCCTCGAGGCTGAGCAGCCTCGCTGGTGGGGTGGGCTGGACACTCACCTCACCTCTGCTGGGTGCCCTAGTGCAGGGCGCAGTTTGCCCCACCAGAAGCTGTGGCCCTGGGCATGATGGGCTGGGAAGTTCCAGGGCAGGGGTCCCTATAAACCTGGCCTGCTCCGGCCCCTGCAGGTCCTGGGCCCCAAGCCTGCTCTGAAGGAGGGCAACCCCGAGGAAGATCTCACAGCTGACAAGGCAAACGCCCAGGCCGCAGCTCTGTATAAGGTGGGCCCCACAAGCCTGCCCTGGGACCCGGCAGCAGGGAGGGTGGGAGCCTGCACAGCACAGCTGCGTGCAAGCAGGGTGGAGGGGAGAAGGCAGGGGGAAGGTGGGGCTGGAACCGGGGTGGGAGGTGGGGAGTTATACAGGACTGGGAGTGAGAGGAGGATGGGGAGTGGGCGGAAGGCACGCCCTGCTGAGGAGATGAGTGCACCTCACTTCCAGCCCATGCTTGGTGAAGGCTTGAAGCCAATGCTGAGCTTTTCTTTCTTGAATTCTGTGCATTTCTTTGTAATTTGGAATCCACCTAATTTCCAAATGGGTTCGGGGCCCCTGTGCTGCAGGGATTGGGGTGATGGGAGGGAGTGTGGCTGCCTGGAATTTGCTTTTCAGGTCTTCACTCTCCTGTCTGCTCCTGGGACCTGGGCGGTGGGCAGCGGGGCAGAGTGGGAGGGAGCAAGGGAGGGCCAGCCTCCCCCTCCTCAGGCTGAGGTGAGGGCTGGTGTGTGGGGGGTGAGATCAGGCACTGTCCGTCTTCCCCAGGTCTCTGATGCCACTGGACAGATGAATCTGACCAAGGTGGCCGACTCCAGCCCCTTTGCCCTTGAACTGCTGATATCTGATGACTGCTTCGTGCTGGACAACGGGCTCTGTGGCAAGATCTATATCTGGAAGGGTACGTGGCTCCTCTGTAACAGCCTGAGATGCCTGTAGCTTCTCTGACCTGGGCAGGCTTCCCTTTGCAGGGCTCAGCCTGTCCAGCTGCTTGTAAAAGACAGCCTCAGGGAGCCTACATGCTTCTGGCTGGCCATTTTCTCTCTCTTTAAAAAATGTTTTTTAAAGATAGAGATGGGGTCTCTCTGTGTTGCCCAGGATGGTATCAAACTCTCGGGCTCCAGTGATCTTCACCTTGGCCTCCCAAAGTGCTGGGATTACAGGCGTGAGCCATGGCACAGGCATCACTGTTTTCTTTCTTTCTTTTTTTTTTTTGAAACAGAGTCTCGCTCTGTCACCCAGGCTGGAGTGCAGTGGCGCGATCTCAGCTCACTGCAATCTCCGCCTCCTGGGTTCAAGCGATTCTCCTGCCTTAGCCTCCCGAGTAGCTGGGACTACAGGTGCCCGCCACCACGCCTGGCTAATTTTTGTATTTTTAGTAGAGGTGGGGTTTCACCACCAGGCTGGTCTCAAACTTCTGACCTCAAGTAATCCGCCTGCCTCGGCCTCCCAAAGTGCTGGGATTACAGACATGAGCCACTGCCTCGCCATTTTCTCTTTGCTGTTCCCACCTCCTAAATTCTAAACGATGACTCCGAAACTTCAGCAAGCCTCAGAATCACCTCAGGGCCTGTTTAGATGGCTGGGCTCCATCCCCAGGGATTCTGACTCATTAGGTCTGGAGTGGGGCAGAACGGGCGTCTCTACCAAGTTTCCGGGTTACGTCTGTGCCGCTGGCACCAGGGACCACACTTTGAGAACCACTGCCCTAGCCAAGCTCTAGACTTTCGGGGCTTCTGGGATCCCTGATCCTGGGATTCTGCCTTAAGGTTTGACAGAAATGAATTTTAGACAAATTAAACATCATTTTATGCATAAAGTGGTGAACCTGTAGAACTTGTTTTTCCAAGAGATTCTATCTTCTGGAAATAGAAACACTGTTGGGCAGAGCCTGTTCTACTTGGTTTGACTGAAAATGAAACAAACTTATTCTGAGTCTCTGTCTAGGGTCTGAGAATTTTCAGCAATAGCATTTGCTCAACACCCAGTTGTGGGGTCAACCAAGGCAGAGAAAATGCGAGACCCTAGCCTGGTCAGGAAGGCAGACAAGTAGGTGGGTATCTACAGATAGCTGCTACCAGGCATTTCATAGTATTGCTTCTGAAACTCAGCAGAGACAGAGGTGAAAGGAAGGAGCTGGGAGCAGCAAAAGTGGGAAGAGAGAGGCGTGCGTGCGCTGCAGGGCTGCCTTTTCTCTACTGCCAGAGGGCACATATCCCATAGAACCAATGCCAAGCAGAGGGGGTTCCCAGAGGCCCACAGAAGCATGTGTAAACCAGAGCAAGGAACCCAACCACTACGGGAAGAGAAACCAGAGGAGAAACAGGAGACTTGGGAGGCCAGGAAGAGAAGGATCTCATGGGTAGGGAGGCAGCTGGTCAGCTGACAGAGGAAGGAATCCAGCATATTAATTTCAGATACATTGTAGTTCATGGCATTTTATAGGCTGCCTAGAGAGACAGCCACATCATGGCATCGTTTCGGCATCATTTCCTTGGAAAAATGTGTGGCAGTCTGGGCAACGTGGCAAAATATCACTTCTCTACAAAAAAACAAAAATTAGCTGAGTGTGGTGGCGTGCACCTTTGGTCCCAGCTACACGGGAGGCTGTGGTGGGCGGCTTGCTTGAGCCTGGGAGGTTGAGACTTTAGTGAGCTGTGATGGTGCCGCTGCACTCCAGCCTGGGCGACAGAACGAGATTGTCTCAGAAAAAATAAAAATAAAAAAGCCTGGAATGAGCAGTTTGAGTTCTCAGGACTGCCAGCAGAAATGACTGGATTATGTGGGGTCTTCATTTTTGTAAGCACTTAGTTAGCATAACCGTTAGGCCAGTGTAGCCCTGCCGGCATTATGGGAGTAAGTTCACCTCTGTAATAAATTGTACCCTTTGTCTTATTTAGTTTTTCAGAAAAGGCTTGATGAACTCAAGAGGTGAGGGGTCCTGGGGGAAAAGGAGACCTGTAACCTCACAGTCTCCTTTTGATGTTAGGGTGAACACCTGTTCCTCTCCCTGAAATATTCAAGGGGCCCAGGTCAGAACAGGTTTGCATGATCAGACCCGGGCAGAAGAGGGGTTTTCATCTACCTTGGTGCCACCAGTGTAGGAAAATTCTTAAGGGACTGACTCCACATCTCCAAAGAGCCCCTCAGCATTCTTGAGACCCCTGGTCTATTTATTGTAAAAATTGCTGGCTCTTCTGTGGACTCCCTTAAATTTCCTCAAGAAAAATGGGATGGGGGCTAAAGAGGGTCCCTGCTCTTTTTAAAAATCTCCTTCCCATGATCCAGGGCGAAAAGCGAATGAGAAGGAGCGGCAGGCGGCCCTGCAAGTGGCCGAGGGCTTCATCTCGCGCATGCAGTACGCCCTGAACACCCAGGTGAGGAGATGCCCATGCCCCCAGCCCTCCTCCTAGGGCTCTTCCTGTGGCCCCTGACCCCTCAAATTGGCCAGGAAGGGCAAGAGCGCCTCGGGCACTGTCAGGAACAACCAGGCCTCCCTCTTAGACCCATCCAGTGAGAAAGCCCATCTCAATCCTTCAAAATGTCAAAATACTTATTATTTTCAAAGAGGATGTTGGGCAGCACTCCCCTGGGCACACAGAGAACTGGGTGCTCCTCCTCTGGGCGATTGCCCCTGGCTGGTGCCACCCCTCCAGCCGCAGCACAGTGTCCACAAGTCATCCCGCGGGGAGCTGACAGGGCTCACCTACAGTTGGTGGCGTTTATTGAACTGTGCATCCACGTCCTTGAAGCAGTCTGTTACTTCAGTCTGCGTCCCTGAAACCTTGGTTCTCATCTCGTGGCTCATCCAGGGGAGCTTTCCTGGCCTGGACTGCGCATGGACTCAGGCCGGGCGCCCACACCCTCCTCCCTGGCTCTGGCCCCGTCCTGTCCTCCCGGGCTGAGGCAGACGTGCAACTTTGTGAACCAGACTTCTCCCCCCGCTGTCCCTGCAGGTGGAGATTCTGCCCCAGGGCCGTGAGAGTCCCATCTTCAAGCAATTTTTCAAGGACTGGAAATGAGGGTGGGCGTCTTCCTGCCCCATGCTTCTCTGCCCCCCACCGCCTGCCTACTTGCTTCTCTGGCTGCCTGGTCAGTGCAGAGGTGCCCCCTGCAGGTGTTCAATAAAGGAGACAAGTGCTTTCCCAGCTCTTTTCCTGCACCGCCTGACCTGGGCTGATTCTGTCACCCACCTATTCACCTGGGTTCATCCCCATGCTGGGGGTGGAGTAGCACACAGATGACAATTGCACAGCCTTGGAGGCACCAGAGCTGCTTTGCATGACTGAGGAGTCCCAGCCAGGCCTACAGGGACTGCTGTGAACCCAATAAGGAGGTGGCACAGTGCCAGGCCCCAGGATCACTTTCATCCAGGGATTCAGTTCAGTCTCACATTCCCAACAGGGAGAAGGTTGTGGCGATGGGCTTGGGATGCAGCTCCATTTAAGCCAGTATTTCCTCAGATGCCCTAATAAAGCACTGCCAGGCAGCTTCAAGTGACATATGCTCGCTGAGCAAGAGAGGACAGCTTTTCACAACTGTACCAAGCCTGGCTTATTACTTCATAGGCACATTGCACTGCATGTTTGGCTGGTGAGCCCAGGGCCACTGCAGGGCTGTGCGAAAAGCACCAGGCTAGCATGGACAGTCTTCAGTCTGGTTCTTACCCTGCCTCTGTGATCCTAGGCAAGTTACTTTCCTTTGCTAGACCTTGGTTCATTCTCTTGTGTAATGAAGTGGTGGTTGGATGTCAGAGGCTAGAGAGCTGAATAGCAGGGAGAATGCAGTAGCCAAAAAGAGGTCCCATCTGAGAAGGCATGCCCGGGGGCCAAGAGCAGGGTATGAGTGAGCCTGTGTCAGCTCGGACCAGAGGCCATGAGGCTTGGCAAGGCTGCAACCACCCTGACTCACCCTCACCCCCAGGTCCTCTGGGCAATGTGGCTTCCAAGCTCTAGAAATTGGATTCTTTCATCCCGAAACAAAAATTCTGATCAATTGGCAAGTTGAACTTGCTGATTTTGTGCCAAGAACTATAGATACCCCTGCCTATAACACCAGCAGTTTGGAAGGGCGAGATGGGCGGATCATTTGTGATCAGGAGTTTGAGACCAGTCTGGCCAACATGGAAACCCCATCTCTACTAAAAATGCAAAAAAATTAGCCAGGCATGGTTGTGCATGCCTGTAATCTCAGCTACTTGGGAGGCTGAGGCAGGAGAATTGCTTGAACCCGGGAGGTGGAGGTTGCAGTGAGCCGAGATTGTATAAGTGCACTCCAGCCTGGGTGACAGAGACTCTGACTCAAAAAATAAAAGTAAAAAAGAAATGAGCTCCTCTCTGCATCTGCCTCCCTATCTTCTCCGCAGGCTTCTCAGCCCTACTTGACAGTCTACACAAAGAGCAGGTGCCAGGGATGGTTTTTTAAAGGGGAGAGAATAAAGGTTGCACTACATTAGTGGTTCCGACAACCTTTGTAGCGGTAGGGAGTATTTTAATCCTCCTATGAAAGGCTAGGCCCTTTCCCTATAAATATACACAGATTAAGATTTTTGTGGCTGGACACGGTGGCTCATACCTGTAATCTCAGCATTTTGGGAGGCAGAGGCAGGCACAATGCCTGAGCTCTGGGGTTTGAGACCAGCGTGGGGAACATGGTGAAACCCCATCTCTACCAAAAATACAAAAATTAGCTGGGCATGGTGGCACACACCTGTAGTCCCAGCTACTCAGGAGGCTGAAGTGGGAGGATGGTTTGAGCCTGGGAGGTGGAGGTTGCAGTGAGCCGAGATCATGCCACTGCACTCCAGCCTGGTGACAGAGTGAGATCCTGTTTCAAAAAAAAAAAAAAAAGATTTTTGCATCTACTTTCAGAGGGTTCAGGTACCTCTCACCACCAGTTCATTAACAGAACTGTAAATTTAATATTATCAGACTACATCATTGCTAATGTTCCAGGGTCTGAAGCTGTGAGTACTCTGTCATCTGGGGGGCACTAAACAGGTGGGAGGTGGGAAGAAAGGACCCTGCAGAGGGAAGAATCACCCAACCTGATGCTCCAAAGTGGAGGCCGAGCTGCAGCTTTTCTCCCCTGCGTTCCAGCTCCTGCCATGCCATGCCCAGCAATCTCCCTGCCATCTTTGCTGGTTAGCTGAGGACCAGACTGGAAGTATTGTGAATGAAAGGGTTAGTTCAGGTCCGGCAGACAACACAAGGCAAACTATGGGGTTGGTTTGTTACCAGCCCCACCCTTGAGGCATTCTGCTGACAGCAGTCAGGAGTTCCCCTCCATGCCTGGGTGGCCACCTCTCTTCCCCACCTCTGTAATGGTTCCCCCCTGCAGTGGGTCAGACTTAAAGAGGCCTGCAGGGCTAGATAGTGGGCTTTCATAGCATTCCACTTGAGGGAGTCCAGAGGGCAGAAGGCAGCATAGCGGGGCTCTCACCTGCCCCCCACTCCCCAGCTCAGGTACCCTGGCCTGGAGGCTCTTTCGGGAAGGAACCAACAGTGCTGGCCTTTCCTAGAAGCAGATGCAGGAAAAATGCTGTGCGGATGCCTTATACCAGTCAATCTGAACAAGAACTGGGCTACCTCGTCCACTGGCTAGACCCTGCAAGGAGTCTTTGGACTTATAAGTATAGCAGAGGATGGACATCCTATGAACTCAGCAGGGTTTGGCTGTAGCACGGCAACCTTCTGTCTCCTGGAGCCCATGACCAGGCTGGAACCTACCTATGCCTTCACCTTGGGTGTGCCTGGCTCAAACCAGGTCCTGGAACAACAGGACCACAGGATGGTACAAGACTTGTCTTGGAAAAAAACACCTAAGATGCTTAATTGGAACAATTCCTTTATTTGAAAACTGCTGGTATGAATTTCCTCCTTCCCTCAATTAGGCCAGAAACCCATCATGGGGCGGGCACAGCCTCTACACGAGAAAGCCCCAGCTTGTCGGGGCTAGGATGGAGCAGCCATGAGAGACACCTAGCCAAATGTCCATTTTCCCATTATAAACAATGGAGCGGGGGTCAGGGGGAGAACAGAGTGGTAAGTGAATGGCCAGAAACTCTAGAGGGGGCCTGACACCCACCTGGTGAGGTACCTCCGTGCCCCAGCCCCACTGAGGACTCAGGCCCCTTGCTTGGATCATGCTGCCCCATTGGGTGCTGCCCCTGCCCTCTTCCTCTGAGTTCTAACAACACAGACACCAGCGCCTGGAAACCCCGCCGCTGCCAGGGAGTTAGAATTCTGGCTGCCTCTACTTGGGAATCTCCTTCCATGTGTGGATCTGCAGAACATCCAGATGGGGCCATCCCACCTCATGATCCATTCACTCCCAGTGGGATACACTGGAACTCAACCTTGGAGACTGGAGCCCCACAGATTAAGGCAGAATTCTCCTTGCTTTGGAGGCAGGTCTGCAGGGAGGGGGTGAAGTCTAGCTGCCCCTTATGTCCCATCCCAGTGAGGGTACTTGGTTTTCCACAGCTAAGCCCAGGAGCTTCCTATATCCCGTCTGCAGAGACAGCAAGGGGTGCGGCCCGGCCAGCCTCCTGACATGGTTTCCACTGACCCTGTGAAAGCCCCTGCAGCTCAGCCTTTAAACCTCCATCCATCTCGGAGTTCAGATCAGCCACACGCCTTAGGATGAGTGAGGCTGCAGGTCACTCTTGCCTGTGAAGGTGAGATCTTTGAAGGGAGGGGCTTCCGGCCCACAGCACCTCTGTGCCCCCAACAAGGAGGCCTGTCCCTTTGACACTCTGGCCAAGTACAGCTCCAGGGTCTTCAGCAGCCGCCGTGGGCTCTTCTTGGCCAATACTTCCAAGTCTGCAACAGAGAGAATTGGGGAGCAGAAGGCTTGAGGGGGGTCTCGGTGACACAATAGTCAGGGCCTCAAGCCTAGCAGTTCTAGGAAGCACCCCCAGGGAGCACCCCCAACCCCTATCCCATGGAGAGAAAGGTGAAGGAGCCTCAGATGGAGAGATCACCAGAGAGGTAGCCCAGGGAGCCAGATACAGACACAGGGACCACACACTCTACCTTGTCTAGACAATTGCAACTTTGAATAGTCCAACTATTGGACCCCAACTCCCAATTTTTGATCAGAATATATACTCGTCATAAGTATAAGGCCAGAAAGGGGCAACAGTCAGGGCAGAGAAAGGAGAACTAGCAGGCTCCAGGGCGTGGGTGATGGAGATTTTGGTAAGCTGGAATTTGAGAAAGTGTGGATGGGGAAGAACTGCAGCCAAAACCAGTCTAGCAACCACCTTGGACTCTCTGAACCCGGGACACTGTGCATTCAGGAGCCTAGGCCTCCCCAGAAGAAAGAGCACACCTTTGAGGACAAAGCTGGAGTCTGAGATGGTCTTCCGCTGTGTCCTCCAGACATGTGCAAGGTGGAGGAATGTGGCGGCATAGAAGCTGTTCACCACGGGGATGACCTTCTGCTGCCGATTACACTCTCTGCAGGAAGAAGGTGGGGTGACCTGCTCAGCAGTGGATGAAGGCTGAGACCTGGGTGCCCTCCCACCCGCCCTCCCCATTTCCCCAGGGAGCCAGCCCAAACCCAGGATGCCCCCACCATTCCCCAGGAGCCTGACATCTAAAGCCACGGGTGGGAGGAGAGATGTCCTGGGGAGACTGGTGCATGGGGACTTTGTCCAGGCCCTCCAGGAGCCGGCAGGTGGAGTAGAGCTGGGGAAAATGAAGCCAGAGTGGGGATGAACCAGGCTTTGCTGGGTCACTCTGACCAGCTGGTGTTTGGGGACTCACCTGGAGAGACACTCCTCTCTCAAGGCCTGGATGGCGATGTGGGTGATGTTCACGGACATCAAACAGAAAGGGAATTGCTGGAATGGAGGGGGCGCCCAGTCAGCAGCAACTCCAGCTCTCACTGTGTTTCCTGTCATCTGCAGCCTGGTGTGGCTCGCAGGCAAGCACAGCCCCAGAGGCAACAGCTGATATTATTATTACTCCCACTTAATTTTCCCAATAATCTTCTTCCCATCTTACAGATGAGGAACTAAGGCTCAGTGACCTTAAGTAACTTTCCTAAGGCATGGGAACCAGGATACCAACTGAGGTTATTTGCTCCAGAGCTGGTGTTTATAACCCCCGTGCTAGCTCTCCAGCCTCTTCATCATCCATGAGCTCTCCTTGGCCT